CCTGCTGGCGTGCTGCCCTCCCGGGAGGCGAGAGCAGGGAACGGGCGAGGTCTGCATCTGCCAGGGGGTGGCAGCAGGTTCTCGCTCTGCTGAGCCCCCCTTAGCACCCCCCAGCCCTGCAGAAGGGGCTGCGGTCCCACGCTCCCCCCTCGAATGCCAGAGGTACCCAAGGGGAGACAAGCACCCCAAAACCAGACGAGGGGCTTGGCCCCCCTCAGGGCCACTCTGCCCTTTGCCGGGGTCTCGGCGAGCAAAGGGGCAGCTCCACTGCCTGCCCTTGGGTGGTGCCCATGGAATACATTTTCCCTAAAATCATGAAAGGAGCAGCGGTTCTGGCTGGATCCTCGGTGAGATATCCCATATTCCAGCCTTCCCTCGCCCACACCGGGCTGCCCGAGGTCACCCCGGCAGCGGCAGCAGCATCAGGATGTTTGGAGGGCAGCTGCCTGCACCTACAGCCCTGAGTCAAACACATCACAGCGCAGGGAGGTGCCAGGAGGAGACTCCTGGCGCTCCCTGGAGCATTGGGAAATAGCCAAGATGGGCCAAGGTGTGTTTAAATGCCCCTTCAGACACAATCGGGATGTTTCACTACACCCTCTTCTCCCATTCTACTTTTAGAGGCTGGACCCAATCTCCAGCAAACTCGACTGAAGATCTGAGACCCTTTTTTTTCTTTTCTTGGTAATAAATACAGTTTGGTGGCCGACTCTTATGCCTTTAGCTCAAAAACCAGATTAATTAACTGTAACACTTGCACAGTGTGATGTTAATAAGGAAAACACAAGGTCCTGAGCACCACGGCGTTGCTCTGCACTCCACATTGCCTGGGCTATTGCTTTTCCCGACACAGCTGGCTGGTTCTCTTCGACTATATCTATCCAGGTTTGCATTTTTTGATCTCTCAAAAAAACAAGAGCTGTAGTGACCCCCATGCTCGTACCTGGCCTGGTCCTCACATGCCTGAGTGCAACCTTGGTCCAAGAATCAAAGCTGAAATATCCTGATCAGTCCTTTCACAGAAAAGCAATATGAGGAGACCATTGACAAAAGCTGATCGTGTTTGCCAATAACGTGGCAGCTGGAAGCAAGGAGGTATCACGCCCGTGGACTATTTTCTCCATAGGGCAACTTGGGAGAGGACTGAGAGGAGACCTCGCGTTGAGGAGAGGGACCTGTTCCACTTACCAGTTCCAGTTTCCCATCCTTGAGCCGGATGTGGGGATCCAGCGCTACTTTTGGTTTGGTGCCTGAAGCTGCTTTATGGGTAGATGCCGAAGCAGGTGCTGAAAAAAACCAAAACTAAACGTTAATGGAGAAGCACTTGGTGCCTGCAAAGCAAAATTCAGAATTCTTGTTGCATGAAATATAATGTGTGTGCAGCAGACCAAAAATCAAAGACCAGGATTTACTAAATCCAGTCCTGGAAGGCTGAACTAGGCCACTGTTGAAAAGATTGGATGCTGGGACAAACCCTTACTGAAACTGGGCTTCTGCACGGTTTAAAATGGGATGTTTCGTCCAAGGACATAGGACTGCAAAAATAGCACTTTGGAAGGTTCCAGTCACAAATTTTTGTGGAGTCTTGGGGTCTGTAGTTATGGTGATCTATGGAAAAATTAAAAAAATCTGCTGGCTCTTTTCTTCTCTAATTGATTGAGCAAAACTGAAACCCAACATAAAACGCAGCCTTGGCTTTCACAACACCCATGAAAAAGAGAATTGATGGATTAAAAGTCATGTGGAAAAACACCAGTGCAAGACTTTTTCCCTCCCCAAGACTACAAAAAGCCTTGAACCCTTTTCCCTTAGTTGAGCAGGCAGGGTTTTTTTGGGTAGAAGGAGCCACAGAGGGTTTTTTTGGGTAGAAGGAATCTGTGAGGCAGACACAGAGGGAGAAGGAGGCAGAACCAGCAGCTGCTTTGCTGGTGAAAAGCTGCCCTGAGCTCAGCAGAGCCAGCTGCTGCCAGCTGGCACATCATCACCAGCACTGCCTTGGCAGCTGGAACGGTGCCGAGCGTAAGTCCTGCTGCTATGCCCAGCCACTGGTGCTCCTCTGTAATGGAAGAGGGAACCCCACCTTTTCCATTACAATTCACCCTTGTCTATAAGAAACGGTGACGTTCCCTGGGAAAAGGGTTGCAGAAGGTGTTACTCGTTCAGGAGCTTCCCTGCCAGACTCCTGCCTGCCCCTGCTCACCCTCAAGCCATCAGCCCAGCTCGGTGACAAAATTCCTTCTCGTGCCGGTGGCACAGGTTTTGCCAGGGAGCAATTCCTTTCCCCTGCCTGGGATCGGATTAACATCATGGGAAGCCCCATCTCTCCAAGTAACGTGGCTTCTCCTGGACCTCTCAGCACGTCTCACCGCACCCTCCTCGGCCGTCGGGGCAGAGACCAGGCAGCGAGAAGCAGCGGAGGTGCTGCACAAGCGTAATCCTCCTAATCTGGGTGCTCATCTGCTCTGCTAACCCCAGCAGCTGGGAAGCAGCAAGAGGTAATAAATGGGTTTGCTGGATCGGCCACCAACAATTTGCTCTCTGAGTTCAAGGGCAGAGCTGTTACCCTTCGAGGCATGGCTAATCAGGATTAGCTCCACGTGGCTTTGCTGTCAGCTCTGGACACGGAGATATCCAGGGCTCCCGGAGAGCGCCAGCCACTGGCCCAGGCTCCGAGCCTGGCTGCTGCTCTTTCAAAGCCGGTTGTCCGTCTTCATGGATGACCACACCAACACAAAGCCTCCTCAGCATTTCACATTAAAAAAAACCACGTGTAATGAAATCTCCAAGCTGTCAGGAAGTGATTAGGTCATTGCTATTCCCTGGATTGCCTCCATGACCCAGAGCTTTGCTCCCTATCACCGGGAGCTCTGCCTGCTGGTGGTGGCCTCCTAAGAACCTGCTTGAAACCAAGCCTGCAGGATGCTCGGGGCAGGGAGGACAAACCGAGGGCAGTCCCTGTCCCAAGGTCTCCACAGTGCAGAGCGTGGAAGGTGAAGGCTGAAGCCTGCTGAGCTTGCCCGAGGTGAGCCAGGCATCCCTGGGAGCGGAGCTCTGACGTACACCCAGCCCAGCACCGTCTGCTCCCCGACTCTCCCACTAATCCCAGGTATGGACTAAACACAATTCACCTTGCAACGCTCGCTTTTACCCTTCCAGATGGGAATTCCAACACAGCACAGGGATTTGCGAGCGGAGCCGCTGCCTGGGCAGCACATGGGGAAGGAATGGCCGTTGGGCTTGCGGCCACGAGAACGATGGGCAGCGCTTGCCGGGGACTCGCTGGGGAAAGCCCATCTGTTCCTTGGGGCTAAGGAGTAACCTTCATATCGTAAGGATTTTGGGTACCTTGCCAGAGGTCATCTCCCTGGACACTGGGTCATGGGGCTTATTGAGGTTTCCTGCAATTCCTAAGGGACCTGTGAAGCTGCGGGGTGATTTGAGTTCACCCCCCCCTTGCTGCCATCCTACCGGGTGAGGGAGCAGGTCTCTCCCACAAAAGGTAAGAGCACAGAGAGAAAACACAGCACGGAAAATAAGCAAAAAGTGAAGCTTGGATGTAGAGAGAAATATGACTTAATCACTTCCACAAGCAATTACCCCCTTTGACCAACTGAGGGCATCCTTAGTGCCTGTATGATGCCCAGCGTTGCCACCTACGTTGCAACTATCATTAATTGCCTTTTTTTTTTATTCTATGTCTCCAACGACCACCCATTCCCATCAGAAGGGAACGTTTCCTGCAATGGGACCCCCTGGGTGCAAGTCTGACGTGATCTTTGCTTGTGGGCAAAGACTCTGCTGCAAATGAACCACTGGCTGAGAATGGGAGAAGTTGTCTCCTATGAATACCTTAGTCCTCTGAATGCCTTAGCAAAGAATTTTGCTACTATGGCCAAACATGGACATAACTACTACCCGTTAAGTAAGCCAAGCTGCACCTTCCCTCTCTCCCAGTGGTCTGAGTCTCATTATCACCCCATTAGATTCCCACCACAGCGATATAAATGCTGATCAGAATTAATTTCATCATCACCTGCCCAAAGAAAAAAATTTAGTAGGACTCTTACCTGAGACTGTAAGCTCTGGTGGGCAGATGTCCGGTGACAAAGAAGGCACGGGAAAATTATTTTCATGTCTATTCTAGAAAAACAAGACAAAACAGCATAGACAGTTACTAAGCAGAATCTGTCGGTGTAAATAAAGAGCAGAAGATAGAGGGGTTCGAGAGAGAACGACCCGTCTGGCCCATAAAGAGCAAGGTGACCATGTACACCTCCTGTGCAGATGGGCTCCAGGGGTTTCTTGGGGAGCACTTGGCACAGGCACATGCCTGAGCCATCTCAAAATCTCTGGTCACGCACAGAAAACCGAGTTTGTCATGACTGTTATCAGGTGCTGAGGATGAGTTTGACCTCGCATGCTTTCTCCATAGAGGTTCTCCCTCGAGCTCTGCATCCAACCCATCAGTCAGGTCCTCAATTTGACTGCAGCCAGTTGTGTTATTTACCCCAAACACGTTAATTATCGCAGGGAGCGTGACAGGAAGCTGAGACCAGTGCCAGGTCACGGCTGAAAGCACAAGTACAAGGGGAAAAATGGAGCCACAGGGCAGATAGCACCGAGATAGTGCTTCCACAGCTGGGAGCTTAGATGCAGAGAGGGACACAGGGCTGGTGCTGAGGACGTACGGACAGGTAGCACGGGCGCCTGAGCATGCTTTCCTTAGCGTGAAAGCCCAGACCTCATTAAAAGTTCCATCTTTTAGCAGCAAAGTGAGGAAAGGAGCAATGTAATTCCAGCCGGCAGTGTAATTTCATGTAGGTGCCCAACATTACACAAGCACACCTTCTGCTGGGTGGTGAAGGATCTAACTATACTACTCAGCTATACCTACATGGGCTAAGGCTGACTTTCATAAGCACGTCAGCAGCCTGGCACACCCCAAGGCAACATGTACGTGGCATTCTTGCAAGTCTGTGTCTCCACGGGGTCTGGAAAGAAGGATCTTTTGCCAATGATGCTTGTATGAAAGGAACCTCCAACTGGCCTGCTCTAAAGGAGGTTTCAGTGGAAGAGGGTAGAGGATAGACCCGGCATTGCCGCAGTCCAGGAAAGGAGCGACAAACGCACAGAATCCAGCCATGGGCCTAAATTCCTGTGAGGGTGGTGAGGTGGCATCAGTCTCACCACACACGGCTCGAGCGCTTGGCTCTGCGAACACAACGTGGAGCTAGGCTTCACGGGAGCAACGAGCCTGGCTTATCACCAGGCTAGTGAAGAGCAGAAACGAGCTGCTTAGGAACGCTGGGGATTCATCCTTGTCAGAGGTCTTTAAAAACAAGGAGTTGTTCCCGCCTTTGGGTAGGAGATCAAACTGACTCCTCCTGAGACCCCTTCCAGCCCTAGGACTGATATTCAATGAGACACAGGTTGCTATCCACAGAAGGGTTTTGGCTTTTTAAAACCTGAGACTTCTGAAACAGGTCTGAACAGAGGCTCTGGAGATAAAACTCCTCTCATTACCTCCACAGATCCTTCACCATCTCAAACCCAAGACAGAAGAGACAATATTTTGAATTTAAAATACCTGGCTGTAAAACAGGGCTACATACATCAACATTACAGACTTCCCACTGTCCAGGACTACCATGGACTCTCCGAAGAAGAATTTTCTGATCAAAGATCAGAGGATTAGTTCATATCTAAGTGTGTGATGTTAGATATGAACTTCAATCTACCTCTGGGGACCTCACATGGACCTTCAGTCTGCAGGAACTCAGACCATTTCCCACAGCCTTTGGAGGTGGCGACGAGACGTTGTTATGAACTGACAGTCCGGGATGTAACCGTCCCCTTCCAGGAATAAAGGCCACTTCTGTGTTTCCCTCGTGTCTTAAACAAACAACAAACACAGAACAATGTATTAATAGAAACAACAAAAAAAAGGAGCACAACTTAAATTTGCAGAACTTCCATGCCCGTGGCTCTTTCTCTGGGATAATCTCAATTAAGCCCACATAGCCTACAGCAGTGCAGCTGGATCTCCACCAGCTGGGTTGGTTGTTTGAACTTCAGTTCCGTCGCCGAACCCTGCTAGGCAGTGATAGGGGATATTCATGAGGACCAGAACATTGGGAAGGTCTGGATTATGCTTAAGGATGATCCATGCATTCAAGATTTCCTTATGCCATCACCTATCTGGACCATCTTGAAGCATCATTTAAGACTAATAATCCTTATGCTTCTTGAAGCCAAACATTGGTATGACACGAAGGGGTTTTGCCTAAGACTCAACAGCACCATGATGATGGGAAACGTGTAACGTTCCTACCTTAATTTGGCTTTTGCAATTATTTTTCTGGCCTCTTCATGTGTGCTGCCCACCAAAGAATCTTTATTGATAGCGATTAGTTGGTCACCAGGTCGGAGCCGACCATCCTAAACAAAGAAGGAGAAAGTCACAGCATTGGGAAGGAATGTCCCTCTGCCCAAAGCCTTCTCCTGCAACACAAATCCTCATTAGTCTGTGCAATGCATTATTCATCTATTCTTAGAAAAGCTGCTTCAGAACAGCTACAGCTTCTAGGAGAGGTCTCCATTGCAAAGTCATTGAGGGTCTCCACGCTGACTTACCTTGTAACAGTCACCATCTGGCATAAGCTCTTGAACATAAATCATGGGGCCATCAGGCCTGTTAGATCCACCGCTGATCGTCAGCCCTAAGCCGGAGGATTTTGCTATAGAAATGCTCTGGATTCCTGATTCAATGGAGTAGCTGCAAGGGAGAGACGTTAGCAGGTGACTCAAGGTGATCTGGTTGATTTTCCCATATTGCTGAACAAACTCTCCCTGGCTTTCTTTCTGTGTGTGATCCTTCTAACTTCTCCCAACTTTTTCTGCCTCTGCATCTTTTCTTCCACCCAACCTTGGAGAGGAGAGGTGAGGACTCCAGTTTCTCAGCAGGCATTGTTCAGCATTGTGAAAACATCTGGTTTACATCATCCCAAAGGCTGGGGAACACCCATGTGCATTTAGAAAATAAAGAGAGAAGAAACTCAAGGTTCAACCGGAACATATTTGTCACTCTTGGTTTTTTATAGCCAAAAGCACACAAAGGGCCGGTGTGGTTATTGTTTGAATCCCACGAAATCAACAGACAGGTTATAGAAGCATAGAATCACAGAATGGTTTGGTTTGGAAGGGACCTCAAAGATCATCTCGTTCCACCCCCCCTGCCATGGGCAGGGACACCTTCCACTACACCAGGTTGCTCTAAGCCCCATCCAACCTGGCCTTGAACACTTCCAGGGATGGGGCAGCCACAGCTTCTCTGGGCAACCTGGTCCAGTGCCTCACCACCCTCAATGTAAAAAGTGTCTCCCTTATATCTACTGGAAATCTCCCCTCTTTCAGGTTGGTCAGCTGTTAAGCAGCCCTTAGCAAAGGCCGGAGTGAAGCTCAGGATACACAGCTGGCTGTGTCTTAGCTGAGGTTTGGACTCAAGCTCTTGCAAGACGCCTGAAGAAACGCACCCTGAAGCACCCGTATAGCAATACCCACCGCACCGGTGACAGCGGGGCAGGTGACTCACCCGGTCAAGGATATGCTGCAAATGCAGCAGTGATAAGGTTGGACCCTACCCTCAGAGAGCTGCCTGCTAGACGGGACCCAACAGGCCACCAAGACATGGCCATGGCAGTTGGCTCCGTGCGGGGAGGGAGAAGAAACGCACCCTGAAGCACCCGTATAGCAATACCCACCGCACCGGTGACAGCGGGGCAGGTGACTCACCCGGTCAAGGATATGCTGCAAATGCAGCAGTGATAAGGTTGGACCCTACCCTCACAGAGCTGCCTGCTAGACGGGCCCCAACAGGCCACCAAGACATGGCCATGGCAGTTGGCTCCGTGCGGGGAGGGAGCCGGAGCGATTGCAGTAAGTGTTGGTGGGGGCGGGCTGGTGGGCAGCATTGCAACATGCAATCCTCAGGGAAGGGTTTGGTGGGATCTAAGGGTCAACAAGCCTCTTCCTTCTAATGGGCTGGGTGCATCTGGCTTTTCTCCTTTGCAGTTTGTTTCCATAGCAGCCACGCACCAAAAGGTCCGCGGTTTCTGGCCCTCCTCGCGTTACCTGATAACTTAAGACACAACGACAGCTGAGCATCCCGTGCCTCAAAGTGACACCAGCGTGTAACCGATGCCATCCCCAGCTGTCAGACCATCCCAGTGATGGAGCAGAGTGTGGCCAGCACCCTTCCAAACCAGCAGCAGACCCCCAGGAGAGCACGTTGGCTATGTGGGCGAACAGGACTGCATTCATGCAGCATGAGTCTTGGTCTTACGAAAAAACCTTGCTTTTAGAAATATTTCGGTAAAACGATGTCACAATGGAGGCTTTGAGCAACCTGATCTAGTGGAAGGTGTCCCTGCCCATGGCAAGGGGGTTGGAACTGGATGATCTTTGAGGTCCCTTCCAACCCAAACCATTCTGTGATTCTATGAAATTAACACCCTCTGTGCAAATCGAAATATCGGACACGCTCTGTGCTGAGGCTGACTCAGATCTCAGTCCCGTTGCTCGATGGGGTGGCAGGACCTCAGCTGACGCTGCAATGAGGGGTCACAGCCTAGGGAGAAGCTGCAGTGAGAGGAAAGGATGGGTGAGGGATGGCAGTCGCATACACAAAAAGACCCTCCTGCACATGGCCTGAGTTACGTCTCTGCTCCCAGGAGGACACCACTGAGGCCTGGCACCGGCACGGAGCAGAACATGGCACAGCACGGCAGTGCTAAGCTAGGAGGCCACCAAACCGGGTCCCCTCTCGCCTGTCTCGCAGCCTGGAGCGGGTTAACAGCAGAGCGAGGATGTCTAGTTTGTCCAGACCAGCTGCCAAGGAGATGAACTGGCCTCTCCTCTGCAAGGGTCTCTCGCTCCATGCAAGCAGCTTAAACCTCTGGTGCCAAATATTTGTCCTCTGCAAATCCCTAATAAAGAGCTGGTATTTAGCAAGAGGATTTACTGGTTCTGCAGTGAGGGCTGATTCTCTTGACCAGCGACTTGGCTTGTTTGTGCTGGCAAAGGAGTGGAAGCTGCAAGCCCTGGGGACGAATGGTCCCAATTCCACGACTGCTAACACCCTTTGAGCTGTCCCTGTCGAGAAGGGCAACCCTGAGCACCCCGGCGACGAGACTCTGCAGAAAAACAAGCTCTGCCTGTCCAAACCTCTGACCCTGTGAAACACGAAAGGGACAGATGACCACATGAAAACACACGCTCTGGGAGATGCTCCACAGACAAAAGGATGAGGAGTCTGTAGGCGACCGCTGTTGGCACCAAAGCAAAGGGCGTCGGGAGTGTTTGCGTCGAGAGGGCAGCACTTGTGCTCTTGTTGCACGAGGTCAACGTGCCAGGAGCAGGGCAACAGGAAATGTGCTCCTGAGAAGCACTCTGCTCATGACATGGTTCGTAAAGGTGATGGGCAGGAACCTCTCAGCTGGCCGTAAGCCACGGCTGCTCCCTGGGGTTCAGAGGGGAGGAAGAGGAGCAGCTGCATTGTTAACCATATTGCAAACATGTTGGCCGCCTCAACGGGGAAGCTTTTCAGCTCTTGGGAACAGGCTTCCCAGGAACAGTTGAGCCGTCACCACACCAAGGTCTTCTAGAAGACACCCTGGTCTCCTAGCCATTGTGGTGATACACCAAAGGATGAACAAAGCAGTTCTTCAAACACTGGAAGTATTTACTGGTTCTACTCCTAAGGCAGCGTGAGACATTGGGTGATACCTTCATGACCGACCAAGGGACAGGCTGTGTGGGCCTGGACCCGCGCGACCCGTACGTACTGTGCGTGAGGGGGGTGCGCCGGGTTCCCGACGAAGGGGCCGTGGGAATTGGCAGGGCTCAGCAGCAGCGGGCTCTGAGAGCGCGAGGAGGAGCCCGAGGATGTACTTTCCAGGTACCGACCTGAACAGCAAAGCCAGAGTCAGTCCACGGAACGCAAATATTCCAGCATCACCCTCTTCCCTGGCTCTACCACTGAGAACTGACACCATTTTCCTACTTTTTTGGGGAAAACCACATGGTAGTTAAGGACATGGAGAGGAAACACTTAGCCTTCTTGGCACAATTCTGGCACGGGACTGTCGCTCCTCTGCCAGCCCTACATACCTCTGCCCTAGGGGAAGGGTTGGCAGCCTTCTGGTGGGATGCTGAGCCAGAGGGACAGCTTCTTTCCCCACGCACACATGATTTGACGTGCCTGACACCTGGCTTAGGTAAACCTTGTTGCATTCTCACTAAACATTTCCTGTTTGCCAATGAAAAAGAACGACCGTTGAATGAACGATTGCTGAAATGCTTGGAAATCCATAGTAGAAGGCTGCATCTGCAGGGATGGGTATTGCTGGGGTTACCTGCCCAGCATGTCAGCTGGGCAGAGTCTGGGGATCTGGGAAGCTGCGATGACCCCAACTCAATTCTCCCTTTCTCAGCCCAAGGCTCTGTGCGGGCAGCACCGGCCATGCCTGCTGCTCTGCACCCGGGGACGCTCTGAGTGCTTGCAATAAGGACAAGCAGGACTCCTCTTCCTTCAAACTTCCCCCCAAACGCCTACTCAATTCCAACCAAAACTCCTTTAAAATAACATTTGGATAAAGAAAACTCTCTGTTGGCAGAGAGAGAGTCTTTTGGTTTCCCCCCGAAGGCTGAGCTACTCACTGCCGCCGTGCAGGACCGGCGAGCTCCGTGCTGAGCCCGTGTTGCTCTGGGAGCCGAACTTCTCCAGCAGTTCAGAGAACTCTCTCCTGGAAACAAAAACACGGCGTAGTCAGCTGCTGCTTGAAACTGTTCCCCGCCTGATTATATGACAACGGTGCCCCCGATGGCAGCGACTCAATGCCGAGTCTATGGGGTCGATGTCCTCCAGCTACAGGGAGCAGACAGAGCTTTCTCATGCATGAGGGTATGACACCTCTGGTTTAAAGAGGTTGTGCAAGACTTAAGGTCAATAATCAATCTCATGGCAGTGCAGCTTTTCTGCGATGGGACAGAACTTCTGTGTGCTCCTTTGCTGCCCTGGGAAGTGTTCAGGGTGAACATGGGCCAGAGGAGGTTGGAAAGGACACGTGGACAGGCACTGGTGCTGGGGACTGTCCTTCTTGAGAGAGGGAGAACACAGGAGTCCTGCCTTGCACCCCACCACTTGGACCCTCCCAGGAATCAGCTGGAATAACGTCACCCCGGCTGTAAGGCTCAGAAGTTTTGCTAACACACCACACAAGTTAAACAGACCGTCAGAAGGAGCTGTAACTATGCAAACATAAAACAAAACTCCTTGGCCTCTTTGTGACTCCTTCCAGAATAGTTAAATCTCGTTTATTCTCCGTTTTTTCTCCTCCTTTCCTAGACAGAAAGCAGATCCCGACAGCTTTTGCTGGGGTAAAGATGGGAGATGGCTTCTGGAGCACATGCAAAAGCGGCAGCCCACTCTCTGAATCCATCTGTGGTGATATCCTCCATGAACATCGCAGGATGAACTCTTGAAGCATACGACCTTAACAAAGACCTGCACTGGTAGAGCGTGCTGGGGCAGTGCAGGCTTCTGTGCTCTTCCCAGCAGCTCCTGGCTGAAGACGCTGAACCAGCAGACACACGCTAAAGTTACAGATACCAAGATCAGAAGGGCTTGCCAGTGAATTCAAGATCAGGGAGGAATGGCAACCCACAAACACTTAGCATGATCCCTCTGTCTTGAGGTAACCACTCTGCTTCCTATATCACCTCTCTGCAAAGCAATCTCATGCTCGGCATCCCTTGGGAAGCGGCCTTGGTGCCCAAGTGCCTTCATTAATGCTTTGCTTCCAGATGGAGTTTGACCACCGTGTAATTACCCAAGTGTGTTGAGTCCTTGATGAGGTGTAACTACCTGTTCACAACAGGTGAATTCCTCCGCGACCTTCCTTTTCCGGAGTGTGACATGTTGAGTTCTTAAACTATTAAGAATCACGTTTGCCAGCTCCTGCATCATTTCTGTAAGCTTTCTTTGAGCTGCCAGAAGCCTCTCACATCCTTTTGGATGAGGAAGCACAGAAAGGGTATTCCACGTTCAAGCACCAGCCTCCTGTGCCCATCCCTGCCACATTGGCTCATTGGGCAACACGGTTCTCAGGAGCATCCTGGCCCTCTGTGACTCTGCAGCCTTCTCACTTCATAACCCAACACTTCTGGATCAACCCAACCTTTTGGCGGACAGAAGAGCCTCAAGGATGACTAACTTCTTACAGGTGTCATTAAACAAGTGGCCAGGCAATGGGGAGAGACCCTACAAGTGTTTCTGTGGCCACAGTAACAACATTAGATGCCCGCTTTGAAGGCACGAAGGAATCCTTATGGGAAGGTGCCTTCTTGATGCAACAGCCACAGGAGAAGGCGGGTGATGAATGGCTGGCTCTCACACTTGACATTCAGACAAGCTCAAGGCATAAATGTGTAGGAAACCAGCCACAGTAAGGCTTCCTCAGCGAGGAGACTGCTCTTACCCACGAGCAGACGTTGTGTCATCTGCGTACTTCACCGGGACAGATGTTATATATTATTGGCTAGATTAGAGTTAACAATACTAAATGACGACTGAATCATTGGTTCCTGCTGGAAACGCTCTCAGAAATTTACATCTTCCCATTAACAACCTGCTCATTAACGAACTTCAAAGACCAGTGCCTGCCTTATCTAATATTGCCATCAAATGTATGCCTTATTCATTCCATTTAATGCTAATTTTAAACCCAAGTGTCACACAATACTTAGTGGAATGCTTTGGTGAATCCCAATACTTTGCATCAACGCTGTTGTCTTTATCAGCTAAACCCATGACCTTAAAAAAAGACGACAACTTCCACCAAACTGCTCCAACTCGCGGTTTCATAGCCTTGGACACCAAAATAGATGCAAAAGCACCAAGAAAGCGGAGGGACAACTTCGACCCCACAGCAGCAGGACAGCTGTCTGCTCTTCTGTGGTTCCCAGGGTTAAGCCTTGGATGGATCTCACCTCAGCAAAATTTTTCCAACTTTCCAGTAAAGCCTCTGTATTTCTACAGGTGATTCACACTCCCGTTTTGCTGGTGACTCAGGCAGTGATGGCCTTATCCTTCCATCACCTATTGCAATGGCAGGTCTAACACGCTGGAAGCGAACGTATTATTTCCAGTGGGTACCAAGCCATCAGCAGCTGGGTTTTTGTTTTGGGCTGGGTGTTTCTGTGGTCATCTATTGTTAGGTTTTCCTCAGATAATAACCCATCGCAGTCCAGAACAGGTTATGAACTTAAAACAATGGCTAAAAAACTCTTAGTCAATGCAAATGCAACTAGTCTGGTGGCTCTTACGCTCTTTTGCTGAACAGAGCCAACCCGATCACCAGTCCATGCTGTCAAACTCTTATGAGCAAGGGCACGGATGACTTGAGCATTCTTTGTTGTTGTTTGTTTCGTGTCGCTAAGTTCATCTACAAAGGAGTATTTATCGTTGTTTGCTCAGGAGCCTGAACAACGAGCTCCGAGCCCGGGGTTGCTTTGCCAGCCCGGGTCCAGCCCAGCCGTTTGCTGTAGGGACGATGTGACTAAATGCTACATCACGGGCCACCGTCCCGGCTCCTGCTTTGTTGGTCAATGCTGCAAGCCCCAGTTCCACCAAGGACATAAACACATGACTAACTCGAAGCACACGCTTATCCCAGCAGCAAGCAACACACTTTCTGGTGTCAATCTCCCGAAAATTAATTTTGTGCTCGGTGCTCTATTTGAAGGAATTTTGCAGACGATGCCCAAACGTTACCGATTAATGAGCGAGTACGCTGAAGGAACGCCAGCAAGTCTTGCTTTGTGCTTCTGGGCACCAACAGACTCCAGAAGATGTCTTTAATATTTAAAATTTGACCCTTACTAAAACATTTTGATTTGTCAGATGCCTGCGGGACTAAAACGCTCGGCTTTACTTAAAAAAAATAAATTCATAGGGCTGTATCAGGTGGAAAGTTCATTTTAACAATCCCTTCTCCAGCTCTTTTTCCTTAAGATACAGACATTTGAGGTCTGTAACAGAGCTTGGACCTGCAGAGCCTTCAGCCAGCCCCACGGCGTGGAGCAGGATAACGGGGTTTGCCAGCAGCAGCCAGCTGTAGGCTGACTTTGCCGCGGATTAAGCAGCGGGGGGTCAATCTTCCCGCAGAATATTGTCAGTTTATCCCATAATACCTTTTCGCCCTGCCCTTTCGTTCTGGGGAGAGCAAAGGGTGAATCCTACATCAAAGGTTCCGTGCGAGCACGGAGGTCTGGAAACCTCAGCTCTGCACCACAGCTCGGGGAGAAAGAGGAGGTGGTGACACCAGATAAATTGACAGCTTCTCTCCAAAAAAAATACGAAGCCTGCAGGTCAGCGGGAACCGTGAACCCAAAGCACTGCAAAAGCATCGCGAAAGCAGATTTTATTGCACCCAGCTCACAGCAGCTGCAGTATTTCCACTGCAAGATGATGCTCTGGAGCAGCGGCACCAGCACGGAGCCCAAGTCCATCCCGGCACAGAGCTGCCGGGGACAGGGCTGCATGGAGCCAGCACATCCCGAGCTCTGAGCCCTCCCGCACCGGCTGTGCTGGGCAGGACGTCACGCCACTGCTTGTCTTTGCTTTTTCCTTAATGCCCAGGAAGGGGTGACGTGCACAGGTGCATCCCGGCTCCTGTGCGAAAGGATGCACGTTCTTCCCCAATGACCCTGGGACATCCCAGGCTTGCGGGAGCCAACCACTTTAGCATCAAGTGCTCAAACAAGCCCATGGGCTGAGTCGCTGCTGTCACACTTACGGCTCGCAGGAAAAAAGGGGTTGCCTGGAATTCAGACCAGGCTGGGCATGAACATACAGTGACAGGACAAGGGGCAGCGACTTTGAACTGAAAGAGGGCAGATTTCCATTAGATCTAAGGAAGAAATTCTTCCCCCTGAGGGTGGTGAGGCACTGGACCAGGTTGCCCAGAGAAGCTGTGGCTGCCCCATCCCTGGAAGTGTTCAAGGCCAGGCTGGATGAGGCTTTGGGCAACCTGGTGTAGTGGAAGGTGTCCCTGCCCATGGCAGGGGGGGTTGGAACTGGATGATCTTCGAGGTCCCTTCCAACCCAAACCATTCCATGATTCTACGAACACTGGCGACAGCCTCCCTGCTGGTTCCTGGGTACTGGTTGACACCGGTTGTGCGTTTGCAGAAAAGCAGACTGCTTTCCTTGCTGCTCCTTGTGCAAGCCGAATTAATAAACCCAACCCGTTCTCACCGAGACGGCCGTGCGTACCGTGCAGAGCTGCAATGTATTTAGCATTTTATCGTGCGAGTAGCAGGAGGTGCAGCGCAGACAGGCTTTCTCACAGCGATAAACCTGAAAGACCAGGCTGATATATCTGTGCAACGCGTAGAAACAAGGAACTATTGTAACTTTCAGGCTGAGAATGAATAAACAATAATTACGCGTATGCAATAGAATTACCCTCATTAGCTACAGACGAGCGCAGACGAAAATCAGAGCCGACTGTCACCCAAACCCAGCGTGCCCAGCTCTGAATCTGAATTTTCTGCTGTAAGCCCTAGCATTACTGCCGCTCTCTGCGATGCGACAGGCTGAAAACATGCATCTTCTACACGCCAGGACCGAGCTCCATTAAGAGCACAGGTAATTTGGGCCTATAATTAACTCCAGGGACAAATAATAGCGTTTATGAGTCAGATTCACCCCAGGGCAACCACAACAAAATGCTCCTCCGCTGAGTCATTGGGAAAACTGGCAGGCGGGTTGGATCGTTTTCCAAACCCGGAGCCTTGACGTTTCCTCCTCCGGCGTGCCCTTGTGTGCTGGGGGTTTACGGAGATGATCCTGCGCGCGAGTATCTGCAAACGCACGGAATCCCACTCCTCCCTGCTGCCTCCTTCAACTTTCATGCCTCTTTGGCCACTTTTAGACGGGCAGCAGGAAGGCACGAGGCTGCCCTCAACTCATCGGAGCTCACTTCCAGAGCTGACAGTCCCTGGGAAGTCACAGGAGCCCATTTCAGCACAGACATAGGGCTGGCTGCTCGCCCACGCTCAACGACAGACTTGGAAGATGATAGGGCATCACTAAAATAAAGATAAAACTAAGGGGAAAAAAAAAAAAAAGAAGTAGAAAGCAGAAAAATCCTTCCCCCACTGCCACAGCCCTTAATCCTGGAAATATGTATTCGTGTATTAAACAGTTTGTGAGATGATTATGTAAGTGAAATCGCTGCAAATATTTTTTTTTTTTTTAAATAAACAAACCGATTACTTCCCCACTCTCCCGCCGGCTCACCTTTCACAGATTTAACAGATAACCAACAGCAGCCAAATAAATCGCTTAAAGTTTCGTTGCCCTCCCAGTCTCCCTCGGTGGGTTTTCCAGCAGCGTCCCCGCGGAGCGACTGGGGAGTGCCGACAGATGTGCGGAGGAGCCGGAGCGCGGAGCGCTGACGGAGCCACGCATGCGTGTGTTTTAAGAAACATCTGCTGCGATTTAAGATATTAGGAGGCACATTGAGATGCCAGGACAGCTTGGAACAGATCAGCGTGGGTAAAAAACCTGCTCTGGGGGCTCCGGCTGGGAAATCAAGTGTTTCCCTGAGCAAACCCTGCTGTTGCTGGGAATCTGTCCCTCCTGCTGGGGACCAGCCCCGGCAACAGCCACCCTAGGAGGGGACATCACCAGATGCCCACGGCCACTTCCACCCTTAAGCAGCACAGGGACCACTGTGGCATGGAGGTGCGTCCTGCGTGTCCTTACTTGGACCAAAAGAGGGTCAAACTCCTGAGCCTGGCCCTGGTTACCTTCACCCAACGCTTCTTCAGCAGCTGCCCAAGGACTCACAGTTAATATTATAATTGGAGATGTTATTTTCTATAGAGGTAGGTAAAACAACGCAGTCCGTCATTAATAGCAAATAATTCTTCTTGCCGGAGTATTACTGCATCAAAATTAGTCTCATCCCTGTCATTACAGCACTCTCACTGCTCTGCTAAGGCTGCAACGCTCCACAGCTGCTGATGGATAAGGAATGACACCATCATCTCTGACGCTAACGGGATGCGGGCACGTTGAGCAAGCAACTCTTGTGATCTTCAGCCACCCACGCACAGGGCAAAGCCTCGGTGCCACCAGCCCGCCCGCCCACGGCCGCGCTCTGCCTAAACCCGCTCTCATTTTGGTGGTTCCTGGTGCACCTCAAGTTTCCAGATGTGTGTTTCTATTCAATAGGGAGAGGATGCTCCAGCACGTTGCACCAGATCTCCCAGGGGATGCGAGCAGAGGACCCCGCTGATCTCCACACCTTGGTTTCCACAACCCTGCCCTCTCTCGTGACACTGTCATTGTCCCACACAGGTTAAATCCAGCCCAGACAAAACTGAACTCTTTCCTTCTGCTTTTGAATCCTCCGAGCCTCTCTAGAGAGAAAAAAGTTTTCTGGGGAAAGGCGAGGGGAGAGGTTTCAGGGAGAAACTGCTCATCCTCCCTGAGTAGGAAGAATCCTCTGGGGAAGAAAAACCTTAACTCAACATGTCTAGCTGGAAAGGAAAGGGAAGATGCTGCTGTCCCTGTACAACTCCATCCAAAGCTCTGTGCAGGACCGGACAGGCCAAAGGCAGCTCAGCACCACACAGCAGAGCTGAAGGAGCCCATGCCACCTGACAGCCAAGGCTGGACCTGCCCTGGTCCTTGTTGGGGAACGATCTGTTGAAATCTACTCGATGCTGGGATGCCCCACAGACCCAGCACAGCCTCGGCTGGAGCCACATCTGCAGATGGGAGCCACCAGCCTTGTGTCCCTTCCCATTACAGCTCCAGCATGTTCCAATCCATGAACAGTCAAAGACCCTTGGCCACCTCCGTCTTCATGGTGGGCTTTGAGCCTCGTTAGCCCAAGGGCAGTCCAGCTATGGTGCCGACCAGTGCCGCCATCCCCCTTCCCAGTGTGAGATGACACCCCTTACCTGGCGTCGTCATCGCGGGCTATAAGAAGGCGCATGTGGCTGGTGGCCGACGCTGTCCTCAAGATGTCCACGGCCCTGCGAGACAAGGACCGCAATGCGTCAACGCCAGCTCCACTGAGCTCGCCCAGCCACATATCACAGCTCACGGCAAACTGGGCAGAGACCCATGGCCTGGGCAAACCCCGTCAGCCACCAAGTGACCTTTTTTTGGCTGTGGAACAACCTTATTCCAGCGGGGCTGGAAGGCAGCCAAGTCGCAGCCTGATTTTCCCACTTCTACAATCAATTAGAAGTCCTCGATAACAAAGATGACCCAGAAGATGCACGTGGTGATGAGTAAACACCTCCCAGAACATCTCCTCCGTCGGGAAGTTTCCATCTCAAGGACAGATGCTTTCTGCTTCAAAATACAGTGTCCCTGGGAGAGCCAGGACAGCGTGCTGGGGGCCAGGCACAACAGAAATGTCCTTGGGGACCTTCTCATCAAACCCAGCTGCTCTGGGGCTTTGGAAGCAGAAGCTCCTCGTGCTGCTTCCCAAGGATCCATCCAGCCTAAGCACGCTATGCAGAAGTTCATGGCAGCACCAGGCTGGCACCACATTGAATGGAAAAGAGGTGCCCCAAAAGTGCTGTACCCCTCTAGATCCATTAATTATTTTCTTGGCAGGGAGGTGAGGGGCTGGATGGCAGCTCTGGAGGGAATCCACTGCAGATGGAACAGGGTGCCAGGAGCTGTTAAGAAACCCAGCGTTTTGGGGAAGTGTCTGAATATCTCCCAAAGACAGTTTGGGGGGTTCACCAGACTATTTTTTATATAGAAACTTTTTGTTTGGTAATTCCTAAGTTGGCTCTGGAGAACAGCGCTGGCTGCATCAAAGCACAGCCAAAGCGATGCCCGGGTGTCCTCTGTGCAACCTGCAACCTCAACCACTTCACAGAATTATACAAAAACAACGGGAATGCAAAAATTTCTGTTTGGATATGGTACCTCTCGCTTGTAACCCCAATTAGGGAATCTCCGTTGACCTCCAGGATCTGGTCTCCTGGCTGCAGGCGCCCTAGAAAAGAAAACTAATGGATAGAAACTGCAGAAAATACAGCTTGAAGGGACTGGGAGAGGTTGGGCAGTTCCTCCCTTCGCCCAGAGACAGGATGAAATATGCATATGTCGTCCCCGAGATGCTCTACCTCTCGCTTGTAACCCCAATTAGGGAATCTCCGTTGACCTCCAGGATCTGGTCTCCTGGCTGCAGGCGCCCTAGAAAAGAAAACTAATGGATAGAAACTGCAGAAAATACAGCTTGAAGGGACTGGGAGAGGTTGGGCAGTTCCTCCCTTCGCCCAGAGACAGGATGAAATATGCATATGTCGTCCCCGAGATGCTCATCTGACCTGTTTTTCAAGACGTCCACAGATGAAGCTTCTGCAGCCTCCCCGAACGACCCGTGCCAACGTCGCGGCGCTTCCGCTGCCGTAGGAAGTTACGAAAGTACGTACCGAAAAACGCAATAAAGCTTTTCCTTAATTCAGTTTGAGGTCAGGTAGAAAACCCACGAGTGGCACCTCCACCTGTCCTGGATTTATTTTTCTTTATTGGATGGAAAAATGATGTTGTCACATTTGGGGAAAAAAATAATTAAAATAAAAATAAGATCTTCCTGGCTTAAGTTATGAGAGGTGAACCCTGCAGAGCGCTGGCTAATACCTCCTTATGTGGAGATGCTCAGAATGAAATCAGTGGCCCAGAGCAAAGCTGAATTTGCAAAAGGATCTCCAACCATTTTGGGGCTACAGGCAGGCAGCGGCACGTGGGAAAGGACCGGCAGCAAAGCGAAGTTCTTTGCGTGGCAGGGATGGACCCTGCTATAAAGCAGTCGTACGCACGCCGAGAAGCCGAGGCAAGGCTGCCGGCGGGCGTTACGACGATTGTCGCAGTAAAAAAATATCCCTCACTGCTGGAAAATCTGGGAGGAAGCACCTGAAATGTCTGATAATGCAACACGAAAAATAAATACGTGGTCTTTTGACTTGTCTCAGAACTTTGCGGCGTTCTGCACCGTGTTTAACTCACCGTCCGCGTAAGCGACACCCCCTGGAAGGATCCTCTTGACATAAACTCCATATTCTTCTCCAGTGAGTTCCTTGATGCCACCAATTACCTTAATACCTGGAGGAAGAGGAGCGCCCGTCACACAAAGACAGGAAGCAGCAGTTTCCGTGGGCCGTCTTGGAGGGACGCAGCCCCCGGCACAGCTCCCAGGCACCCTGGCACTGCCCGACACCCCTTCTAAAAACCATTTGTGGGAAGCCCTGTGTCTCCACTGCACTACAGGACAGCAGAAGCAACAGGATGTGGCCACCGACACAACGCAAAGGCTAAAGGCATCTGATGGCACCTGCTCGGAGCAACAGCGATGGAGACAACGCTTCTGAGAAAGGCCCAGGCAAGGAGTCACCACCTTCCCCAGCCCCGAGTTCATCTCTGGTGGGGAAGGATCCAATTCCACTGCAGATGCCTCATGTCTTTGGTGGGACTTGTCATGGGGAACATTACTGGGCAGAAGCATTTCTCCCAGGAGACCTCCCTTTGAGGTGCAACATCTGGATGAGCCCCAGGTTCCATACAGTGGTGAGAACATCCCTGCAGTGAGCTTGCCCACCTGGTGCTCTGGCAGCATCTCCACCGCAGCCACCCATGGCAGAACTGCATATCAGGAGAGCCCCAAGGGCAGCCACTTCTTCATCGGTGCTTCGTCCCGGGAGGAGCAGCCCAGAGGCAGGAGTCAGGGTGCAGAGATGATCTTCGATGCAGCCCCAGAACCCGCCGTTGCAGCAGCGTGGCTCAGGTGCCCTGTAGCACCTTGGCAAAGGGTTCATGCTCTGCGTGGCCACCTCTCCAGTCACGGAGACCCATCCCTGCTGGCATGTCTAAGCTGGCTGGCAGGAAAAGGCCCAAGAGACTTATTTTTCCAGGGCTCGTTAAGTCCTGCTTCAAAGATCCAGGATGCGGACAGAAGGATTAAAAAGCCCAGCTTTAATTAACAAATCTCCCCCGGGAGCTGCCGCTCAGGCGTTTTGCAGCTCCGGACAAGAGGGCACGCTGAGGACAGGCGGCATCGCGGAGAGGGGCACTGCCAGCGTCAGACCAGCTTCATCCTCCAGCTGCTGCCCAGGGCCGACAAGGTTCTGGGATGCACGAAGCGACCCCGTGCGAGAAACGCCTCCCTCCAGAGGAACGGAGCACAGCTGCTTCCCCAAAACTCGAGACCCCTTTCTCAAACGAGCAGCGAGGAAGAGGAGTGGACCCTGGATTGGGATTACTCGGGATGATGACACAATTTCCATCCCTAGCTCCCTTTTGTAACCCAAGCTCTGCTCTAAGGGCCCTCGCTAGCTCTTAAGAACTTGTCTCTCAAGTCACCTTTACATTAAAATTGGGATTAAAACCAGATTATCAAGATTTTTCCTTCCATTCCTATATACACCCATTGCTGCTTCTCCCAAGCACAAAACCTCAGCCCTACCCAAGTGCTGGATTTTACTCCCTGGGCTTGGTGCATTAAGCACACAACCCCATGGCATCTGCGTGGAGCTGTTTTGCCGATGGGCACTGGGAACTCCTGGCAAAACACCTCAGGAAAAGGCATTGATGTTGTCCCCTTCATTGTGTTTTTGAAGAAAACCACTAAATTTTGAAATATTGCCCAAAAGACGTATCTCCAAGAGGTGAGAGCCTCACCGAGGCATGGGGACAGGTCAGCTGGAAGAGATGCTGCAGCCCCAAGGCCCCCTGATGGAAGGTAGGATGTGCTCCATCACCAAGGATGCTCAGCTGGAGAGCTTCTCGGCTCCTGGCCGGGCTGGGATGGCTGGCAGTGGGCTCTGCCACAGAGACCCTGAGGAGAAGGTTCATACTTGGGATGGGTTTGGGAAACCTCCAGCAGAAGGAAAGCCCCATTGGTTCCCCTGGACAGGAAGGGCACTGGAAGTCCATCTCAAGCCAAGATGATGACTCAAGAAGTCATCATATGTCTTTCTTCCTACCGGAACATGGAGTAGTTAGGAATGATAGGACGCTTTAGACAAATAATGTAAAAATCCACGTCTTGGAAGAGGGTCAGCTGTAGCGTCACCCAGCAGCCACCTGCTTGTGACAGGCTCCTCTGCTGAGGTATCAAATCAATAATGACTCATTTCCCGTCTGTGCCTGCGAATCGATTGTAATAATGGCTTAATATAGCTGGAGTATCTACAAATCCTGCTTTATCCCCAACGATGTCAGGAGAAAAGCCGATCTTGTTATTAAAATCGGCGATTACTGACAGTATTGCCCTCAGACACGCTCAAACTTTGACGGGAAGGAGGTTAAAAAAAAAACAAACAGACAACCCTGACTTTGAACTCCCTTGTTGGCAAACCAACCGGCTGCTGCCAGGCTTTGCCCACGCTGCCCTCCCAGCCATCACCTCGCCGTGGATGCACCACGGATGCCGGTCCTGCCCTCCGGGACATGCTCCGGGGAGTCCCTGCCAGGGCAGGGAGGAGGAGGAGGACAAAGAGCTCACACCCACCAAGGTTCAGAGCTGTGGAACAGCCTGGGACTGCTGGTGACAAACCTGAGTCACCAAAGATGGTGGTGGGAACGTTCCTGGGAGTCTGCGTGGTTTATAAACACTTATTTCAGTCTCATTTCTGTTTAGGACCCGGTGTAGGTAAATAACGGCTCTTTAATTATCACGGCAACAAAGTCCCGGTATAATGCCCATTAAATCATACTTAGGGCCAGATAATCCAGCCTATTTTGGAGCTCTCTCTCTAATCTTTCCTTTCTGGCAAAGGTCCTGGAGCTGATGCCCATGTCCCCAGTATTTTCTCTTTGGCAGAATAAACATTTATGGGGGAAACTCCAGGTGGGCACAGAGGTCAGACGAACCAGGACAGCGTTTTCTTGAGATTCTTAGCGATCCTGTAAATGTCTTCAAGACCCTCGAGCTTCTCTGGCGCATCTGATCCCACTCCCACTAATACCAGTGTCGCAGTTCTCAACTCCTCAGGCTGTAATCTCACCCGCTCCTGGCTCACCACGCAGCTCCCTACCACGGGTCAAGGGGTGTCCAGGCTAATCTGGTTGTTTAGCCCAACTGTAATCATCTCCGGCGCATCCCGACCCCACCGGCCACCGTGCCGCGCTCCCGGCTGTCGGCCCGGAGAGAGGCCGCCCACTTTGCGCCTAAGCTAGCAATGTTCAATTACATTTCCCTTAATCCCTCTGTTGATCTTGCAGCCCCAGCCAGCTTTTTTCTGTCTGGAGGAAGGGACAGATTGGAGGTGAATCACTCACTGCCCTGTCCTAAGAAGATGAAGGTCAAGATAATGGGATCTCGGTGTTTCTGAGAAACGCTTCTTAATCAGCACTTCCCTTTGATGGCTCTTCTTTAATTCAAAGTCCAGGTTTTAGGAGATGCCAGGTAACCCCTTTGAACTTCTGCTGAGGTTCACATGTGGGTTTCCACCTAAAGCCACAGAGTAACAGACCCGGGGCCAAACGCTGACCTGCCACCTTGGCACCAAGCGGGATGATGCTGCCCTAAAGAAAATTCTGCTGGAATAACACCCACATCTGAATGTGAGAAGCTCACAGAGGCACCTTTTTTTCCCCAAAAAAAACATATTCTGAGCAGTTACACCTATGGCAGATGTGGGGCTCCTGCGAGCACTGCTTGGTCCTCAGTTGAGAGGTATGATTTCTGGAGGACAACCAGTTGTCTTGAGTGTTTCAAGCTTCACAAGAGAGGATGAAGAAAGCTGATGATGTCATTAGAAAATCCACATCATTATACCTTCCTGCAGCACATTGCAAGACCCTGTAGAGGGTCTGTGAGACCCTGCAAAGACCCCTTGGCCGCAGGCTGGGGGAAAGGAGGAGTACTGGGACCCAGCAAAGTGGCTGGCAGTGGGCTCTAACATCTGTGCACCTCTTCCAGAGGTCAGCATCAGCCCAGTCAGGCTTTTCTGGGTCTCCTCCTTTAACAAGCTAATCTAACCCAACAGCTAAAATCCCATCAACTCAACCAAATCCACCTCTGGAGATTAAAATATCATATTCACGGAGCAAAGACATTTCTCTGAGCTCCTGGGAACATCATGAGCAGAACAGCAGAAGAAGAGTCAGCAAAGCCTTTCCTCCACAGCAGAAAGCCCCGTTACCCAAGAGCTGGAAACAGCCAATTAGCAATCTATAATTAATCTCAGGTCTCAGGAAACCTGACCTTATTTCTCTGGTGAGATTGACTTCTCAGGAGGGGTCCCCCAGATGGTCACCAGGGACCTCACCAAGGGGCCCGCAGCTGCTCTGCGGGATGATGGGCTGCACTCGCAATTAAAAATTATGGAGGAGACTGCGTGGTGGACGCCGAGAAATCCTGACGTAGGATTGCAATTTTTCATAAAGTCCGTGAAAAAGCACCAGTATTTCTGCTGCTGGATGCACAGAGGTCAGATGAGATGCTCTACTGGATCCTTTTGGGCTGAGTTTCACGAACCTGCGGCTATTTCTCACGTTCTGATGGAGATGACCATCTCTTTTCCCTTCTCTTCTCTGCTTTGATGTTCAGAGCACCGTGGAAGGACGTCTGACTCGCTCAGTGCTCATACCCTTACCCGTGGGCCAAACTTTCCCAAAACAACTCATACAACCTGGTCCCCAGGACAGCTGCGATTCCCCACGTCGCCCATCGCAGCAACTTCGGAGGGTCCCTGCCTGCGGTGGGGCGGGGGCAGAGGCAGGGAGCTGGGAAGCACTTCGGATTTTATTTATTTTTTATTATTACAATTTTTTAAGTTTTTCTATTATTATTTTACATTTCAATTTATTTAATTCAGAATGTTGCAGAAAGCTTTTTTTCCACCCTATCCTGCTCAGGGGATGGGCTCCAGCCCCAGGGCTCCTGCACAGCTCTCAGCACTGTGGTTGCTCCTCATCAACTGGGAATTAATCAGGATTTTGACCTTATTTTAACCTCCAAGATGCCAAAGGTGCCATCAGATGCTCGGCACAGGCACAAGAATTTCTGTGAGATATCGGACTTGATATAAAGATGCATATCACGACGCAGGTACTGGGGACTGGGGGGGATGTTGGAGCTTCCCCAGCCCACCCCGATGTCCCTTGCAGAGGCTCAGTACTCACCCAGCCCATTTGCACAGTCGTAGAAATCGAAGCAGTGCACGGTTCGATCCATCCCGTACGGTCCCATGAGCGTCCTGGGAGAGAGAAGAGAAGCATCTTTCTTTCACGGGCTAAAATAAAGGGACACACGCACACCCAACCACCACGAGGACATCCTTCCCACCGCCCCGGCCGCTGCCCATGGAACGACGTGGACACACAGCTTGAGGGACGTTAAGCCCACGTTGGCAAAAAGCAACCCCCTCCCACCCCCCCGCCGACGTTTATATACCGATAAATGAGAGAATATGTGCAGGGCTGGACATCATCCTCCCCACCCAGCAAATCTGATGGGCCTGTCTGTGATTCATTACCCCAGATTAACGGGGCTGGACAGCTGTCCAGCTCCCGGGAAACGAGATCAGAGCTCGGACCAATGTTCCGGGAATAAACCAGGTTCATGAATAGAGACAGCCAGTAATGAAGGCAGCCAGGCACGATCTGCTCCCGAGGCTTTGCAACGCGAGCGGTCTCCGTCCTTCTGGCAGGGGGTCTGGAAAAGGAGGATGGAAGATCCGCCGAGTCACTCCACGTCCCTGCCTCGCCAGGTGGAGGGTGGGAGCTTCTCATCACAAACCGAAGTGGGTGGAAGAGCATCGTACACCTGAGTTTCCCCCATTCCAAGTAGCTCCTGCCCCACGGCCTCCCCCTAAACACCTGCTGGCAAGATGGGTGTCCCAAATAAATGGCACTGAAAGCTCCACTCGGCCCTATTTGGGGACTCCAGACTCCAAATCCAGGACCACCGGTGCTTCTCCTCCTTGGGTGGCTCCTGGTGGTCACCTCCATGAGGATGGGTGGACCTCGACCTGACAAACCCAGAGCCAGGTGAAAAACCAGGGGTGAGAGTCTCCTAAAGCACTCCACTTCCTAGGATTTAAGTCACAAGAGAAAAGGAGTTTCTGAATCCATATCAGATCCTAAATCTGGACGCAGCTGAGGAGAGACAACACCATGGGGCACAACAGGCTCCTCTGAGTCCAGCGGACGCAGGAGAGGAATAATCCAAGGGCACTCCTCCTTTTCAGGCATCCAAAATACTTCTCAAAATATCAAGCTATTCCGCAAAGCCAGTAACACCCACCTCTAAGATTCAGAAAAAGCTTTTTCTCTTCGTTAAACGTTTCCCCCCCTTGATATTCTTGCAATGTTTCATGCATCCAAGAGACTGGACAAACAACTGGCCACATCTGGCTGTCAGAAAACAGAGTCTGAAGGTGCCCCAGGAAGCCAGAGCAGCCCTGAGCCCAGACTGGTTCAATTTACCATCCAGGATTTTCAGGGTATTTTCGGTAAATCACCGCGGAAACTCCACCACGAGTGAACAGAAATAGCTCAAACCGGGCTGAAACGCGACGTAAGGATGGAGGTTTCGGTAAAGCAGATGCCTACTTGATACGATCAACTCTCATCCCCGATTGGAGGCACGCACGGCAGAGCGGGAGCGAGCCGCGCTGGCACCGGAGACGCAAGAAACCCAACCGCAGGCACTGGTTGTGATGTCCTCGGGTCTTTCTGCTGCGTGCCAGCCATCCCCACCACCGAACCCCGGTCCTGGAGAAGCCGTAACGGATCGCCGTTGGCTCTCTAGATGGCCGTGGTCACCGGGACCCCCGGGGCTGCCCTGGACCCCCTTCCCCATCCCTGCCCTGGCTGTGGGGGGATTACCTGCTGATGATGATGGCTCCCTTGTAAAGCACAGAGACGACGGGCATCTTGCCGGCGGCGGCAGCCCAGCCCTGCCA